CGAAAAGCAACTCAAACAAGAAGCCTCTCACATCTAAGTTATAAATCACGATTTAAAAGGTTTAATATTACAACGGTAGAAACTTGAAGATAAGAGGTGATTTATTAGTGCTTCAAAATTGTCTACAGTTTCATACAAGTTAAATGGTGCATATCTACGTCAAAAATAATTGTAAAATCTGATGAGTTAATGGAACAATATGCATGCAGAAGAAATCCCATTTGATTTAAAAAAGAACTAATAATGGAATGTTGTCCATTAAGAGAGAATTTTATTCTTAACATAATAGCCACTGTATGGAATTGTCTTCCTCCATCTATCGTTCTATAAACATCGCCCCGCCTTATAGGGTAAGGCGGGGCGAGTTCGACATGTTTTAATTTAACAAAATGAGATTGCATATAAATAAGTAACATTTTTTAGTTTAAAAGCATTTTTTTATTAATTAGGGTCTTAACTTTGTTAATGTATTGAATCAAAATAAATTCTAAAGTTACTTTAGCATAGAACTTGATTTTTTCATCACCAAGTCATGAGTGGCGAATTCGTCAATTATGGGGCGAATTCGTCAGTACAACCAACTAATTGAAAAATACGTTACTTGGGCGATAGATAAAAATCCGTATTAGTGGTAAAAAAAGCTTACCTAGGTGAAAAAAAACTTTGATATAAAGCATTATTCTTGGAGTAATAATGGGATGATTTCCGTAATCTGAACAGTAATCCCCTAAGTGATGTAGATAGAACTACTAATAGCCTACAGATAACTACAGATGGAATTACCCTCAGATAACGACAAGATAGAGTTTCTTGATTTCTAAAACATCTTAAAGGATGTCATTTGTTAAACTTTTTCTAGAAAATATCAAATAATGATTTTGACATAAATGAAAACCGTCTAATCGCGCTAGCACACAAAATAACACGTTAAAGAAACAACAAAAATTATATTGCTATGACTATTCAAAAACTTACCAGACGTTTATATGTCATTTGCACACATTTTCTTCATTTATCAACTCCAAAACATCCGTCACATATCAACTTAAATATTTAAGCCTATCTTCGTTTGCTTCTCTCCAAACTACACAAACACAACAAAAGTCTTTATCAGTGTTATTTTTGAGAATAAAACCACTAGATGAACTTGGGTGATCAGAATTAGCTGAAAAATGAATCTTCTTTATTTTTGTTTTGACTGATTTATTTATTTTTTATTTTGAGTTCTGTTTAACACTGACCATATTTTTTATTGTATTTCACTGTATTTCTTAGGGAATGCAAATGGGAATGAACTTATTAAAATGATGTAAAAAAAGTCAATAAACATCTTTTAATCAATATATCCGTTTTTACTCAATGTACTTTTGTACCCAAAGAAAATTTAGATGCATCTGGAATCTTTGTTTGTTTAAATATGAAAAAATGGTGGTCAACTTTCCCCTGCTGCATTGACAGTGGCCAGGTATGTTGTTAGTGTGCCACAGGTATGTTGTTAATGTGCTAGAGTTTACAATGGATTGCGTTAGAACTATTACAATTGGTTGAAATTTAAAATTCAAAATGAGTCAAGAACGTGAGTTTTATATATATGGTCCATATGATAGCTACATCAAATTTAGCACGTATTTATTTAAGAATTATGCCACATTAAGTGGAATAGTTATGTGAACCAATAGTTAACTTTTTGTACCTCACGAGAGCCAATTACACGAAACCACTTGCTTTAGATGAAAAGCCGCTTTTATCGCAATTATAAATCAAATTTTACATACTTTTATTTACTATATATACATTTCAGACTATACATTATAATAAGCTTGTTTACATGTGTCTTTACATGTGTTTTCATCAGAGTCGCGTTCGTAATTAAAACTTAAGAGGTTTTAAAAACTAACTGTAAACTAATATATTCTGAGAAGCCTCTTATATATAAAATCTGAAGCTTTGAAGTAAATTTTTAGCATGACTTTATTTTCTTTCAAACGTCACTCCAATGTTGAAAAGTTTGCGTGATTAAAGAACCTAATTTATCTTTTCTTTAACAACGAAGTTGCCCCTCATTTGAGCATGTGATAACAATTATACGTGAAGATTCCAAAAAAAAAAACTTGGCAACTTAAATTGTTTTTTTAAAAATATTGATATCGATCTATCGAAAAAATATACTTTGGTTAAGTGGTCAAAACATCGCGTATTTTGATTATTTTTTGACGATAAGCATTTAAACAGAAAAATATTTTTTTAACTTCGATGTTTACTCGCAATATTTAAAGGATAATCAAAGGAAGATATAGAAAACACTTATTTAATAATATTCTACAAATATCAGTTAAAAAAGTTTCAAAAAAATTGAGTAAATAGCTTTCTTAGTTTATATGCATTATTATGTTAAAGCTGAGTCGCATAAGTGACGAATTCAACCCGCCTAACCCAATAAAGTCACCGGCTGAAATAGAGCGTGCTTATTACACGCTCTCGTTTAACATCATGAAAATTTATATTATTTTAATTGATATTTTGTTAAACTTCAGCAATAAATAGTTTTTATTTTTATTATTATTATTGCTATTATTGCTATTGTTATTATTTTTATTATTATTATTTCCGCTATTATTAATATTATATTATTATTTTTCTTATTATTGTTGTTATTATTTTTATTATTGTAAGTATTTTTTTTATTATTATTATATAAAATGTCTGAATAAAAAGAAAATTGTTTCCTCTTCTAATTTCTTTTTCAATTATGATGCTACTATAAAAACCTAAATAGAACTTCTGTATCTAAAGTGATTTCCTGCTTAGACTCTTTTACAGCTTGTGGCCCGGATAACATATCTGTCTTGCAGAAGTGTTCTCCAGAGCTGTTGTCTATCCTTTCAAAACTATTTAACAAGTGCTTATCAGAGTCTTGTTTTGCACCCCGCGGGAAAGCAGAATCTGTTATCCCTATTTTTAAAAATTCTGGAGAGCGATCTGAATCGTCTTACTACCTTCCCATTAGTCTTCTTCCTATCTTAAGCAAGGTTTTTGAATCTTTAATCAACAAATACTTAATCTCTCATCATGAATTTAATAACTTACTTTCTGATCATCAATATGGATTTTGATTATCTCGTTCTACGGCTGAGATACTAACAGTAATACCCGATAGGTTTTATCGTGCATTAGATAAAGGTAGAGAGATTAACGCCATTGCTTTTGACATTTCTAAAGAGTTTGATAAAGTTTGGCATGCTGGTCTTCTCCATAAACTTTCTTCTTACGGTGTATTCGAAAACATCTTTACGATTATTAAATCCTTCCTTTCTAATCGTAGTATAAAAGTTGTCCTTGATGGACAGCACTCTTCTTCTTATTCTGTCACCTCAAGTGTTCCTCAATGTTCAATCCTTGACACTATACTCTTTTTAATTTACATTAACAATCTTCCACATTATATATTAGATATTCTCACATCTAAGGTGGCATTGTTTACTGATGATACTAGCATTTATTCTTGTCATGATAAGAAGCCAACACTCTCTGAATATTTGGAGGGGGTATCTGAGCTTGAATAAGATTTCACTTCTGCTACAGCATGGGCTCACAGTGGCTGGTGAACTTTAATTCAGATAAAACTCAATTTTTTTCAGCCAATCGTTATCGTAACAATTTAGTCTATTTCATATTGATGAACGGTAATGTACTCGATGAATCATCTACCCTTCATCTACTAGGATTAACTCTTACTTCTGATTTGTCTTGGAAACCATATATCAAATCCATTTCAAAATTGCCATCTGTTAAAACTGCATCTCTTTATCGAGCTCGACACATTCTTACTCTGTATTCTATTCTCTACCTATATAAATCTCAAATCCAGTCTTGTATGGAAAACAGTTGCCATATCTGCGGCGGATCTTTTAATCATACCCTGTCTCTTTTAGAAAAGATGCAAAAACGTATTGTAAGCATAGTTGGACCTGCTCTTGCAGCCAAATTTTAACCATTATTACAGCGTCGTAATGTTCTAATTAATTCTCTTTCTCTTTTCTACAAATACAATAATGGGTACTGCTCTAAACAGCTAACGTTTCTTGTACCAACTATTAAAATTCACCCTCGTTACTCGTCATTCAGTTGTCTCATCCTTTTTTCGTTACTGTTCCTAAGTGCTCGAAAAACATTTATTCGTCTAACTTTTTTCCTCGAATATCAGTTCTTTGGAATTTGCTTGCTTTCCTGATTCATATAATTTGCAATCTTTTAAGTCGTCTGTCAGTCGTTGTCTTGCTCTAAAATCTTCATCTTTTATCTTCCAGTAACTTCCAACACTTATTAGGGGTTGCTTGCAGCCTTGTTGGAAGCGAAGATGTTTTAAAAAAACAAAAACAAAAAACAAAAAAAAAAACAACCTAACGTCTTTAAAGAATGCTAAAAACTAAACCATAAGAGATTGTCCATAAATTACATAACGCAAACTTACACAATAAACAAAACAAAAAATGATCAAAAGTTTTCTCTCTCAGAATCTTATTTTCAATAAAAAATTAAATAGCCCATTAAATTAAATGAAAACTATTATAAGTATTAGAGCCTAATATATCTTATTTCTGTTTTTAAAAAATACTTTGCGTTGCGTAATTTATGGACGACACCTATATTCCTAAAACAACGCAATATTCCATTGTTTTTTCTAACATCTGAGTTAAGCCGCAGAAACATAGTTGCTGCGGTGGATTTTAAATGCATGAACGCAATAACCAAAGTTTTCTCGTCTAACTTCCCAAATTTCTCAGAAAAAAAGTCAGACGAAATATCGTCTAGCCTAATTGTTGTAACCCAACTAAAAAATAACCCACATAAAGTAAACTAAAATGGAGTAACTAAAATTGTAACCCAATTAAAATTATACGTACTATATTCGTATTCCGTCGCAATAATACGAGCAATATATAAATTTTTGAAGAAAGGAGGTATTTAATAACATGTAAAATTTTCTTTCTAGCCTGCTTACTTCAAAAATTAACAACTTTCATATCATCGCGAGAGAATACAAATTTTAAACACATTTTATCCATAACCTAAAAGTAATTTTCTCTTAAATTTACCCGGAATTTACAATTAGATCCGATACAAATCGCAGCTAAAGTGTAACATGTAAAATGAGAAGGCTCTGAAGTAAAATGAGAAGGCTCTCAGTAAATGGGTGTGTGCTATTGTTTTAAAGACCAATGATAAATGTGATTATGTAATAAATTCTCCTTAAAGATTTCATCTTTTTCATTTGGCATTAAAAAAAAGTTGAGCTTACAAGTGCGCTAGCTTTTAATATTAAAGTATTGTAAATTTTGGATAGTTGTAAGTTTAAATATTTAATTTTTTTTACTTGTTGATAATATCGTTGTTAAAATATAATTAAATAAAAATCGTTTTGATAACAGAGTTTATATTATAAGCTTTGTTATAAGTTATAACTGTATATACTCCTTATGCCTATATTATATTATAATAATAATTATGTTATAATTTATAAGTCCTTAGTTTAAAGTTATAACTCTATATACTTTTGTATCCTAAATGATATTAAAATATTTTAAATAAATCATAATATAAATATACACAGGCTGAAAAAAAGGCCACTTAAGACCGGTTTAAGACCACTTTTAATTTACTTTCAAATTTTTCTGTTGAAATAAAATAATATTCTAAAGTTTAAGATTTTTTTTCCATATAACATACAACATTTTATTGTACTAAGTTAAATACTTTCTCCTTAATATTAAAAGTTTCATATAGCGTCAAGACAGTGTAAAGTTTAAAAAAAATTAATCATTAAAATAATCATTAAGGATGGCAATTAGAACAAGTATTTTAAAAAATATTTATTTCCAGCATGGCTGAAAATAATGTTTTTTAATATTATATTGAAATTGTCAAATTTCTGTTTGATAACTAAAGTATGATCTCCTTTTTTAAGAAAGTGCATTTGACAATTTATAAAATGTCAAATATGTCATGACATCCACACTTTTATTTTTACTTTAAATAAATACAATATACTTAAAAAGTATATGCTTTTAAAAACTAATTATAACTCACTTAAAAATAAGTTTGCAGTAAAAAATAAAAGTAAATATTCTTTCGCTTAACTAAAATACAGTTTTTGAAAAGTTTACCATAATGCCCATCTGATCTATTTACCCTCCTTAACTTTACTCAGAAATAAGTTGACAATAAAAAAAAAATTGGTGTCACTCCTTTGATCAGATTTCTGTATGAGTGACACCATCCTAATAAATAATCAATTTATTATTACAAATAACTTTATGCTTATAACTAACATTATAATATTTATTATTATTACTTCAATGTAATTTTATAAACATTCTTATTTCTACTTTTAATGTAATTTGTATTAATTTTATTATCTTATATTATTAATATATATTATTGTTTTTATTACTATTATAATTGTAATTATTTTGATTTTAATAGATAGCTTGCTGTTGTTGTTGTATTTACCTGATATATAAATAAATCATAATATTTTCATTTACATTTTTAGCAAAAACTGCAATTTGTTCAAAAGTTTAATCAATAAGGAACTAATTTAATGTTGTGTTTTTGGTTTATAATTATAACTTTAGTAACTGGTGTCACCTAAGTATTGGTTTTGCAGGCTAGATCCAGGCTTACTTCACAATTTATTTAGTAAGTTATTGTTTTATATCTTTTTTTTGATTTATTTCATTTTATTTGATATGATTTTTATTCATCATTATTTAATCATCCTTGCTATATAAATTTAAATCATTATATTTAGCTAAAGATTTTAAATAACTTAAAGTTTCAAATTAAAATTTTGTCATAGAAATGTGTTGCTTACATTTTTCTCCCTTGTCTTTATTAAAAAATTTAGTTTTTTCTGCACTATAGTTTCTTAATAAATATTCTGTAATTAGTGGGTTTTTCTACTTGCTAAACTTTTGATAAAGTACTTTACTTTTATTTGATCGCTGAACTTCAATCATAGGCTATTATAAAAAGATACCTAAGTTGGATAAAAAACTTTTTAACAGAAAACAGAGAGTGGTCCTCAGTGACACTGTCTCAGATTGGCTACCAGTTATCAGTAGTGTACCACAGGGATCAGTTTTAGGACCACTGCTGTTATTGATTTTCATTAATGATTTGCCAGATTAAGTCAAAACCCTATTAAACTTTATGCTGATGGTAGTAAAATAATAAATAGTATAAAAAATATGAATGATTCAATAAGCCTTTAAAATGATATAAATAATGTAATGGTATGGTCATTTATCTGGCTCACAAAATTTCGTTATGAAAAATGCAAAGTTATGCATATTGGAAAAAAAAAATCTTAATGCTATTTTTATAATGACTGATATTGATTGCAATTACAATTACAGGCCTCTATATATATATATATATATATATATATATATATATATATATATATATATATATATATATATATATATATATATATATATATATATATATATATATATATATATATATATATATATATATATATATATATATATATATATATATATATATATATATATTATATATATATATATATATATATATATATATATTCTATATATATATGTATATATATATATATATTTATATGTATATGTTTATATTTATATATATATATATATATATATATATATATATATATATATATATATATATATATATATGTATATATATATATATATATATATATATATATATATATATATATATATATATATATATATATGTATATGTTTATATATATTTATTGGGCTTTTTAAAGATATTTAATAATTTTATGAATTATTATAATCAACATTAACATTATAACTATAATATTATCAATTAATTTATTAGTTATTATTAATAACTATTAAAACTAACAATAACAGCTCTCAGAGCAGGTTTACTATTATTTGAATCATTATTTAAAAATTTACTTTAACAATTTTCATTCAAATATTTTTGTAGATAGAGATTTTTTTATCTTTTATGTTATTCACCTCCCAAGGTAAATTTAAATGAGTAATAGTGGACTGATAATACAGTAGAGGAGGCCACCTTATTGTTGTTACAAACCTCTCTTAACTCTTTAATTCCTTAACATGAATCTTTATTAAGGTGGTTGAAATAAAAATGTTTTTTGTAGATATAGTTGCTTAAACACTATTGTTATCAAGATGAAAATAAAAAAAATCAATATTTATAAGTTTTTTTAAACATGTTTTTTTATGTATATTGATTAATATTTTTGAAGTTTTTATACAATTTTGCTTCTTTTGAGTTACAGGTTGACATTCTTTAGCAAAATGCTTTTTCAAAATATTAGGAACCCGCCAAATTTTTAAAGGTCTTGCAGCACCCCTAAAATTTTGTTTAGAAAACCTAGTGTTTTTGTACTATATAGAACACATAGAACACATTTAGTTAAGAGCAGCAGACTATTTAAAAAAAAGTTGTTTATCGAACCACCCTTATCTTTATAAACAAAGTTGCTGCGTGGAGAAACAAATTAATTTATTTGAATTTCAAGTTCAAATTTGTAGTAAATTAAATAAAAATATATAAAATATACTTTAAATAAAGTTAAAATAGAATATAAAACTAACTTTCAATATCATTAAAAAAAAAAAAAAATCTTTTCTAATGGTATTGAAATGAAATTAAAACAAAACCCAAAAAAACCCAAATTTACCCAATAAAACCCAAAACTAAGCAAAAAAAACCACCTGGTTGGGTTTTTTTAAAATAACCCAGGTATTTTTTATAAAAAACCCAGCTAAATTTATCTTTTGAATAAAAGCACAATCTTTGCTCTCTTGATCAGAGATTTAATTCAACATAAAGCGCTTTTCAATTTAAATTACTTTAAATATCTTTGTGGAAGCCAATATTATTTTAAAGTTATATTTATTTTGATTTACTGAATGGATAAAGTACATCTTTGTAAATTTACTTTTTAACTAAGTCAAATCAACCAGTTAAGTTACTACAGTAACTTACAGTAACTCAACTATTAAATTTATTTAATATACTCAAAGAAACAAAACAATTAGCCATGTTTTTATTTATATCTTATATATAACACATAATATAAGCTTCTAAACTATTTTAACAAGAAATCTCGAATAGAATATAAAAATATGAAATTTTTTATATTTTATTTAAAGCAATATCAAGATCAAACATTTTCTACAAATACGCAAGTTTGTTTTTGAGGAATTTTATTTAAAAGATATCTATTTGAACATAAGAATTATAGTCTTCTAAAATTCTCTTATTCTAATAATTTTCCAATTGAAATTTGAAGTTGAAAAAAAAAATTGGCAAAATTTATAACAATTTTAACACTCAATAGTTATAAATTTAATTCAATGATGTCCTTAATACCCAGTAGTTTTGTAGTACTTATATTTGCAATACCCAGCATAGCGATAATCGTTGCTGAAAGTTAAATGTATATTCTGCAACAGTAACAATGTCAGATTTAAGACATAGTGTTAGTGAGGTTAATTTCTAATTTAATTTTTATTTATATTGTTTTGAATAGTTAGTTATATTTTATTTAAATTGTTTTGATTAGTTATATTTTTTTTCTTGAAGTTAGTTTTAAAGTATAAACATTATGTTTCAAACATTAAACCAGTGATTGCAAAAGTTAAAATTAAAATTAAATTATAAAAAATTTAAATTAATAAAATGTTTTACTTTTATTCAAAAAATATATATTTTTTTCAAAAGTCATTAAAGTATATTTTTAAACTTTACAAAACTACAAAAATTTATTTTGGTAATATACTTAAATATCCAAACGATTGCAAAATCCAGATTTATGTAATTTAGAAATATTTTGGAAAATTTTGTAAAATAACACATGTTTTATTGTCAAAATGCATTAATTCGAGTACTGAATATTGATAAACATTATACTTATGTTTATATATACATTATATATACACATATACATTTACATATATATGTGTAAGTATATTGTATGTATCTGGGTATCATAATAGATTTTTTTCTTTTTTTGTAGATCAAACATCAAAATGGGTCAACTTTTTACACATCTCAAAAAAGATGAAACCACTGTTTTTAGCCAAACGTTTAAATTAAAGTTTAGTGATAGTGTTGGAGTAGATTGGAGAACTCTTGGGCGTTGGTTAAATATTGAGGAAAATTATTTAGACATGATTGATCAAGAAAATTTAAAAATTAATGCAAAAGCATATTCAATGTTAACAAAATGGTTGCAAATGAATGATAATCCAACAGTTGATGAGTTGAAAATAGCTTTAAAGAAAATGAATAGAATGGATCTAATAAGAAAAGTAGAAGAATTCACAAGTAATTATTTTTTAATTGTATTTAATGTAAATAAATTGAAAACAGATTTAAACAAAATTCAATTGTTGTTGATTTTTGTTTATGTATCTTTTTTCTCTATAAAAATAGCATCTATAACAAAACATAAAAATTAAACATAAAAATATTATTTAACTTGTATTTTTTATTCAAAATGATTCAAAATATCAGTTAAAAAAATACCAAAAACTTTAATTAGTTCAAAGTAATTTTAATTGAAAGTGGAATGATTCAAAAATATAAATACCCTGTGTCCTAATTTATTAAAGCTGGTCTCATTAAGTATAATAATTTAAGAAGTGTTCTTACCCTTAGACTTTTTTTAATGATTAAATTTGTTTTTATCAGACATCAAGTTTAAAAATTTATGTTTTTGTTTTCTGACAAAACTAAATAAGCTTAGAATAAAAAAACTTTTCAATTTCGCAAATATAAGTCACTAGTTTTAGTGATTATATATTTAAAAAGCTTTATTTATCAATCTTATGATTATTCTGAGTATTCTTTTTGATTGTGTATACTTATATATTAATTATACCTTTTATGAAAGGTTTTATATAAAAGCATTATTCTAATTAGAGATAAATGAAAAATAATAAAATTTTTGTTTTAAAGTATGTGAGTTAGGTTTATTAGTTTGTTTCTCCTCGCAGCGGCCTTATTTGTCAAAGCTCATATTTCGGAGTTATAGAGTTGAAAGTGGGTTAAAAGTAGCACCCTCGTCTGCAGCGGCCATCATGGCCTTGGCACTGCTTTGAAATAGAGGTTTTAGGTTGACCTAAAAGGTACTCAAGATGTTTCAAAAGATATCAATACTTTGGGTGAGCATGAACTATATTCCATTAAAAACAAAATAAAAAGCGTTCCTTTTAAGGATTTATACGCTTTTTTAAATAATCACTTTGCAAAAGAAAAAATATTTCAACTCAGTAGGGATCAAGTGTTTTTTGGTGTTTTAGATACCAAATTATAAACATAGAGTACACTCCAAACATCTATATGTTTATACTAGTGTCAATGGCGGATTAAAGATGGCCGTAAAAGACAAAAAAGGCACGAAAAAATCTTTAAAACCCCATAATTACTTAATAGGAGTTTTCTGATTTGGTGTAAGTAAACTATACTTTCTCAGAAAACGTTGAAATTAATTTGGACACAGTTCAAAAAACCTAACATTAGTTAAGGCTAACCATGCATCAGAGTTTTTTTAGACATGATTTCAGAAGTTTCTAGCAATTACTTTTTGGACTGCATGTTTTTTAGTGACCAAGTGGCAATAGCTAATTGCATGGCAAGTACTGAATATTTTACTCTAGTGGTTTATTGTAGAACTTTAGAAAATGTCAATGAAAAAAGTATGTCAATCAAAAAGTAATAAAATTTCATTTTCAAATTTGAGTGGCCGCCCTGTAACAGCACCACAAAAGAAAAAAAAATACATAACAATATAAACAATAGACAGAAATATATACCATTATAAGCAATCTACAGATATACATGACAATATAATCAATAGACAGAAATATATACCAGTATAAGCAATCTACAGATATACAGATATATATGACAATATAAACAATAAATAGAAATATATGCAATATCTATAAAATATTTACAAACAACAATAAATTTTTTTATGCATATCTAATTTTAAGATATAGATAAAAATGATTCAACTTTTACCTGTATAGAAGACCTTTTCCTTAATTCCTGACCATCTTTTCATAAATTAACAAAATAGATCTCATTCAGCTAAAGTAGTAGAAAAGAGAGTAATAGTAGAGTGAATAGAATTAAAGTATTTCATGGAGTATACCACCTAAAGAAAAATAAAAAAAACCGAGTGATATCCAGGGTCAGAAATAATACAATAATCAAGGGGTTAAGTTGGGTGATTAGTCTTGAATATATATATATATATATATATATATATATATATATATATATATATATATATATATATATATATATATATATATATATATATATATATATATACTATATATATATATATATATATATATATATATATATATATATATATATATATATATATATATATATATATATATATATATATGTGTGTGTATATATATATATATGTGTATATATATATATATATATATATATATATATATATATATATATATATGTGTATATATATATAAATATATATATATATATATATATATTTATTATCAAGAATACTACTAAATAGAATTATGACTAAATATCATTAGTACTAAATACAATTACTATCAAATAAACTACGACTAAATAGAACTGCTACTATATATAATTACAACTAAATATAATTACTACTAAATTTAATTAATACTAATATAATTACAAATAAATATAATTAGTACTAAATATAATTACTTATAAATATAATTACAGTTAAGTAACATTACGATTAAATATAGTTACATATAAATATAATGACTCCTAATTATTATAATGTAATTAATTATAATTATATTGTTATAACTTATAGAAGAAGCAACATATAATATATACACATAATATAACATAAAAATTCCTTGATAATAGTAGTAATATGAAAATGAGCAGATAAATAATATGTTAAAAAATATTGTAATAAGGTTTTCAAATACTCAGATATACATGCAATATATGCAATGCACAAAAGTTTAAATATTTATACATGACAGTATAAATAGAATTTATGACATTATAAACAATGCGCAGAAATACACTTCAACATAAGCAATGGGCAAAAATACAATACAGTCTAAATTAAATAAAACTTGAAAATAAATTTTTTTTTTTTTTTTTCAAGTAATTTTATTCTTATGTTAAAATTTCTAGTTCATCTATTTAGAGATTTAATTGGTTTTTGTTAACAGTGACTTTTTATCTGTAGTTTTGGCAAAACTAAATATCTTCACTAAAAGATTAGATATTTGCATATTAAAAAAAAAAAATTTAACTTTCAGTGTGTGGAAAATATAAAATATAAATTTTTTTTTTTAAATAATTGGTTTAATAAGAAATTTAAGTTCAAACAAATTATGACCCTTAAAATTAAATTAAGGCTTTTTTAAAAGTTAGGTTCTTAGCATGAAAGATTAATTTAAAGGCAATTTTGTTGGAGCTTTTCTGCTAATTCCAAAAATAGTTTTAGATTTTCAAAAATTACTTCAAATTAAACTATTAATCCATTAAAAAGTTTTAGCAGAAAAATTTTTTTTTTTTTAGTTTTTATCTTAAACAGGACACTATACTTCCTATAATCGATTAAAACTTAATAGCTTAATATGTTTGTTATTTTTCTACTTTTTTAAATTTATTTAACTTATTTTATTATTTTTTCAAGCTGAATGAATTATTTTCATTTGGATTAAATAAGTTTTCATACTTTCATGATTAATTTTGTACATATACACTTATACTCTTGAAGTGCAAAAGTACAATTTTCAATTTCAATTTCAAAAATATTTATTTTTTGAATATTTAAGTCTCTAAAAGAGAAGCCTTATACTGAGGAGACATTGAAAAAAGCATTAGATAATATTGAAAGTGCTGAGTTAAGCTTAAGCTCAATTCTACCCCATACCAAAATCAATTTTTCCAACTGAAAATAAAATAAGACTTCAGTAGTTGGTAGTCACATTACAACAAAAAACATTTTAGTTTCTCTTTGGACAATGTGTAGTCAATAAACAATTAATATGCACTTAGCAACCTGTAAAATAGGCATTATTGTGATATTAAGAAATATCTAACAGCTTGGTAACAGGCTGGAGAGGATGGGGTTCCAATAATGAAAGCACAATTACCCCAAACTATTTTTTAAACAGTTCAAGTTTTTTTTTTTCAAAGTGGCATAGATGCAGTGTTATAACATTTTATTATTTGTGAGTGTTACACTTCAAGACATTTAAAATAGTTAAATATTCAATAATAATTTAAAATAGTTGATAGTACAAAATTCCTACAACAAAAGACATACCATAAAGACAAATCATAACCCTAACAAAGATTTTTATTGTTAACTTGATAAAAACAATATAGTAGTACAAAATGACAATAACAAGAACACCGTAAAAACTGGTTTTATAATGTGTTACTAGTAAAAATTATTTTTTATCTTTTTGTTGTGTTAGTTTTGTAGGATAAAAATTGTAAAAAGTAAAGTTTTTGCATAACTATCATTTAGATTCTTCAAATCCACTAGATGTTGCTAGCAGAGTTCATGTCAATAAAGGTAGTAAGAGTAGTTCGAAGTTATAACTTTAATTAATCTTAAATAAAAAGTTTTCTAGAAATTTAACTTTACACTAATTATATAATAATAATAAATAAAACAAAAGTTACTAGCAGATGATGATGATAATTGATGTTTAGGTATATCAGAGGTATGCACAGCACTAAAAAATTATTATCTGAAATATTATGGCAAAATAAATGAACTTCAACCACTATTAAAAGCACCTGCTAATGTTGATCTAATACAAAAATTTGTTGATCTATGTATTGTTGATGCGCATAATGCTCAAATGGATGTTGTTTGTAGCGTTGAACGAAAGAAATTTCTTGAAAAGCAAATGAGTTATACACCAATTCCATATAGTGAAATATTTATGAACGAAAAATCAGTAATATTAATATCTGGAATAGCTGGTATTGGAAAAACATGGTTGCTCAGAAAGTGTTTGCTCGATTGGTCCAATAATTTGATTTGGAATAATGTTGAACTTGTTTTTTATTTGGAATGCAGGAGACTTAATCAATATCAAAATGTTTCGAATATTAATGAATTACTAAATGTTTTTTACAAACATATTTTAAATGATTTTGATATTAGTAAGCATACTACATTGTTTATAATTGATGGATTAGATGAGTTTAAATATTTAAATGAATTATTAAATCCAAATTTAAGTTGTACCTTTCCGATTGTTAATGCTTTAGCAGAAATTCAAAGTTATAAACATGTAGTTGCTGGTAGAGTTTACGCAATTGATAAATATCAAAATATATATCCAGAGCATATTGATAAGTTAACCATTCAAATAATGGGGTTTAACCAAGATGGAGTTGAAAATTATGTAGAAAATCATGTTATAGAAGAAAAAAAAAAAGCTGTTAAAGCAACTTTAAATGAGTCTCCAATTGCAAAAGTTATGGCATTTGTTCCATTTTATTTATCTTCCATGTGTAAAATTATTAGTGATTCAAGCAAAATATATACAACTTCTTTCTTAACGATGACAGAATTGTATGCAAATATTTTTTTATACTTTTTGCAAAAACACATTATCAAAAATAATGGATTGGTTTATGAAATGATGGCAAATGAAAATAATAAGAAATATGTATTAACCATTTGTAGGATAGCTTTTGAATTGTTTATTGAAAATAAATTTATTTTTTCAAAAGAAGAAGTTTTACTATTTATCAATAACTTTAATGAAGTTGATGAAAGTCTTTTTGGTTTTATTGAAAGGGTTGAAACACATCTAGGTTATTTTTACCAATTTGCACATTTGACTGTAATGGAGTTTTGTGCATCTGTATATGCATACAATTGTTTAAGCTTTGAAGAGATTATGGCCAATAAAAAGCTGAAGAGTTGTTTATCAATGATTTGTGGATTAGGCAATAAAAACCAAAATATATTATTAAAGTTTCTTGTTAACCTGAATCCTTCTAAAAAATCAAAAGAGGAGTCTTCACTTTCGGTTTCTATTTTGGGTAAGTAAGTAGTTTGTTATTAAACTTTGGTGCATTTTTGATAAATATACATATGTACAAATGTACAAATTTTGTTTAATGTCATTTTTTTTTAAAGAGAAAACATATAATTATTAAAATATTTTTATCATAAAAATATTTTTTATATTATTTTCTTTTAAGCTTTTTTTTTTTTTTTTTTTGATTAGTTGCTATTTTATATCTTTCATTCTCTACATGATTTACTTATTTTTTTTATTAGGTGTGTTTAACAATATTTAGCAACTGTTTTAGGGAAATTTTGATAAATATGTCAATGTTCTTTTTTTCTGCACAAGTTGCTTGACACAAATCTTTATGTATGTATATTCTTTCATAAAATATATCCATTGAAGTACTCTATGTAGTTAAGCCTTTTTTAAAATATTATAGCATCTGTATGATAATTTGTTGACTATGAAATATTTTCGTTTAATATTCAGATCTGTGAGTTATGAAAAAACGAAAAAAATTAAAATGATAAATTTTTGCGGTACCTTAAAATATAAATGTTTGTAGGGTAAAAACCCAGACCAAAGTTGTTTTTTTTTTTTAATTATCTTAAAATCACAATCGCTCATTCAAATTTTAATAAGATTTTAAATTAATACGTTTTTAGGTGAAATGAACATTATAGTTTAACAAAATGATCTGTTCTGTTGGTTTATTGGCAATTTTCCATAAATATAAGCTATTTTTTGGTTGGAATTCTAGTATTTTTTGTAAAAATTGATAAAAATGTTGTGTTTTGACAACTATATATAGTTAATATATGTCTGAACTAATTAGAACTAGGATCAGTAGTAAATTAAGGAACTTTTTTTAAAAATTTGAACTAAATTCATGTTAATGCTGATGAGCGAAATTAATCTAAAGACCCCAAAGTGTTCTTTAGATTCACTATTACGGGTATTAAAAATGTTTTGATAATTATATATAAAAAAGAAATGTTTCATTAAATATTAAAAAACCCTGAAGCAAAAAAAAAATTATACCATCTAAATCTTTTGTTTGGACATAATACGCTGATATAATCATGCTAATTCCAAATAAAAGTGTTTGAATAATTTGTAAATGGCCGAGTATGAACCTTAAAGTAAAGTATGAATAAATGGTTTATTTAATTTTTTTGTTTTTAATAAAAATAAAAAGCTTTGTTTATACAGATTTATCATTTCATAACTATGCTGAAAAAAGTTAGCCTAAACAGTAAAATTTATTTTAATTTACATTTTTAATTACTTTTGATGTAAATAAATTTTCAAATTATTTTTTTAATTTATATATTTTTCAAAAAAATAATCAGTTTTGTCTAAAAAATTAAAGTAAACAATTTTTAGACAATTATCAAATTCACAATCATAATTAAAGCTCTTTTCGAGTTATCACTATTATCGCATTTATTAACTTGAATGTTTTTGTGTAAATTAACTTGAATTTCTTTGCGTCAATCTATTGAAATATTTGTAATTACAAAAGTCATTTATCACATTTATTAACTTAAATATTTTTGTATAAATTAACTTGAATTTCTTTGTGTCAATCTATTGAAATATTTGTAATTACAAAAGTAGCACCTCATTCTGTATAATAAAACCTATATCCCTAATATCATTATGACATAGCCACAGCTGTTTTTTTTATATCTTGCTTGTATTTTTATTTATCTTATTTTTCTTCTTTTTCTTTGTCTTAAAGTAAAATCTTCTGCTTTAAGATCTCATTACCTTAAACTTATTGATCAAACTTGTTTTTTTTACTGCCAATAACATTCTTCTTTGTCATTTGTTAATACTGCTGTTTGTTTTCTACAAAACTCTGCAATTCCTTCTTTTTTCACTATTGATTTTCTCAGTGTTTGATTAATAAAACCAGTTTCTTATTTTTTGTACAGAATTACCATATATGTATTTATACTATATATATTTATCACATTATAATTTAAACTTTATATAGGTTTATAATTTTTTAAACCCTTTAGCTGGTGTAGAGCTAATGAATATAAAAGATATAAACCAGTTTTTTTTTTGATTAAATAATTTTTTAAATAATTCTTTAATTATTATTTTTTCTTTGTAACATTATTATCTGTGTGTGTGACCTTCTATGTCTTTATAACTTAATAAAATTAAGTTATCAAGACATAAAAGTTAATAAAATTTTCAATTAAAAAAGTAAGTCTGCTTTTGGTTCAACTTTATTTAACATTGATAAGATTGATTACATTTTTTAGAGCTCACCAGTGGGTTTTTCTAAGCTGCTAGTACCTGTTTTTAATTAAAGAAGATGTGAAGATAAAATAATAAAAAAATAGTTAAAAAGCTATCGGTCTAACAAATATATTATGACTAAAATTGTTTGCAACTGAGTTGAGTGCAAAATTTATTTCAGTAAATATTTATCCTGTATATTAATAATGGAAATATGATAATAGTAGTTGTGAAAGTAACAAAATAATGATTATATAATAATTCATTTTCAATGCTTTTAGCGCTTGAGTACTTGTCATATCCATAAAACATTTTAGCACATTTCTTGTAACGAGTCTGGCTTTATTATAGTATTTGCACTAAAATTAGTCCATAGAGCCACAAAAACAGAGGCAGTAGGTCATATATTGTTGCACTTAAACCTTAACCAAGTATATCTTGAATATTCTAATTAATGTTTGTACCCATATAAAGACATTTCATCTCTCGATTTATATCAGCATTATCAAACAAACCATTTTCTATTATGTGACCCAGATACTTGAATTTGTCAATGAAACTAATTCACATCCAGCTAAGGTAAACAGTGCAAAGTTGCTTAACACATTCTTACCTCTCTGTTTTGGTTTAAATACCATACACATCGTTTTTTTTTGTTGTTGTATTAAATGGCATGTTAATGGCAGTGGCTTCAACATTCAATGCAGTTAATAATTTTGCAATGCAAACCAAGATGGAGCACTCAATACAATATCGTCGACATATGCCAAAAGATTCAAATGTTACCTATGTAACATCAATATGCATATTCGTAATATTGAAAATCAGTGTTCTTATATAAAATATGAACAAGAACAGTGAAAGATTTCCACCTTGCTGTACACAATTACTTATGTTAAAGCTGTCAGAGTTTACTTTCTGCCATCTGACAAACATAGTTTGATTCTTGTACCAAAATGCAAGTAGATAGGCAATATTTATGGCAATAGCCTGATCAATTAATTTAAAAAACAGTTTCCGATAATTAATGGTATAAAATCTATAAAAGCATGCATATACATGGCTTCCTCTAGAAATAAAGTATTTAACTGTCTTTTATAAACAATATGTACATAACATTGTGGAATGACTTTTCTTGAAACCAAACTGAAAATCATCAACATTCTCATGAGATATGATTCTTTCTAATCAAATACCTTCAAATATTTTAGAACAAGCCGGAGAGTCCTCCATATATAAATGATTCCATAAACAAATCATCTGGTCCAGCAGATTTTCTCTTTTTTTGCTTATACAAAGGATTAGTTACATCTATAATAGTAACTCTAACAGGTATGTCCAGTAATGAAGAATGCACTTTCTGTTCAACCTGTATTCTATGCTGGTTATCATTAAGTGAATTATATATTGTTTGGAAATGTTTCTTCCATATAGTAGCAATGTCCTTGTCACCAGTAACTCTGCCAATACTAGCAATATGATTGGTTGCCTTAACATTATTGATATTCTCTGTAACCTCTGTCAGCTTTAATTTGCTCAGTATGATTTTTACAGTGCCTAAAGGCAAGTTTAAATACTGTTTGAGTTTTTTTAATTCTTTCAAAGATATTTACATGTTTAGGTTTTCCATCAACTACCCATTGTTTGAATGCATCCCTGCATTTTTTTTTCTTAACTAAAGCTCATTCATACAATAGGCACTCTCTTTAAGTTTTCCTACTACCACTACCATTTTCTACTGAAGCTGCTACATCTCTATATGCTGATGCTTAAATTACTTTATCTTTGTTTAACATTGTTCAATACAATGTTTTGTTGAATCTGTCTAAGATTATGCCTTCTTTTTTATGTCACACCACATATCCATCTGTTTAGTCACACCACACATTCATCTGATTTTTTTTTTACTTTTTACAAATACTATTTCATAAATTCTAAAGTTTTTATAACAATAAAATGATATTGTATGCCTGCATCTAAATAAATAGCCTGCATCTAATAAACAGCCTGCATCTAAATAAACAGCCTGCATAGCAATTTATCTAAATAAATGCTTTCATCTAAATAAAATAAATATCTAGGAAACTTTTAGCTTTTCTAAATTGAATGTTTGGAAGCTTTTATTACTTCTCTTCAATTTTAATTCAAGCCTCATTCTACTCTACATTTTTCACCATCTTGAGCAGTTGCTTATAAAACAATAATGATTTTTTTTCATCTTTTTGACAAGAACATCTCTTAAGAACAAATTTCCTTTTATGTAAAATAGTCCTGTCTAATGTTAAGCTCTGTCAGAGACTTTTGGCTAGTCTTTAACATTGTTGTTAACTAAAGTAAGGCAAAGAAATCTTATCCTTATTTGACTCTTGAATATAATAGCCATACTCTTCCTAACGCTTGAACAGATTAAATCATTGTTACCCAAATCACTCTTCCAATGGTTTCCAATGATAAAGTTAATTCTTAATAAAATACTTTTACAGTTTGTGCTCCATAATATATTTCCATCATAGTTCAAAAAGTGTTCTCCAAAACTCTCTTTAAATGTTGCTAAACTTTTATAATGTGCTAAATATGTTGTTTTAATTTTTTAAAATTCTAGAAAATACTTTGACCTCTCTCCAACTATCCTACAATTACCTTTTTCTATCTTATTAGTTTCTTCATATAAAGATTTTGAGGTTATTAAATGTTTTTTTTTCTAAATGCAGTAGTAAAGTTGTTATTTAAAGTCTATTATTTTCATTATTCTAAGTAACTTTAAGGGTACCA